AGTGTCATAATTTACCGAATGACGCTTTATGACAACAGTCATAAATATTCATGAAGGCTGATTCATGTTCGTGACAGGTGGGTATGACAGTGTCATGTCAGTCTTATTCAACCCCCTTCAAATAAAGTGTTACCAAAATGTTAAATAATGATTAGAGTCACATCTAAAGACTATCTGGGGAAGTTGTTACCAAAATGTGGAAATTCTGAAATTAGGAAATGATTATGAGACTTCTTTTATCCAGTCAGACTTAAACATGCATAATAATGAGATTAAAGAGCAATAGGGTTAAAGCTTTTTTTTTCATGTAATAGTCAAATATGTCATTTATTATTGGTAGATTTTCAGAAAAATAACACTAGTGATTTTTTTTTATTTTGTTTTTAAACGTTAGAAGCCAGTTTCATGTGGAGCTCTTTATTTTACAAGTATATATGGTGTTGGTATGGGCATAATTATGTTTTACATGAATAATATATTTCATAAAACTGTGAAAATAACTCTCCGAGTTTCTCTGACATTCACTTTCTCTTCAATATAAGTCTCCCAAGACTTAAGGAGTGGTGAAAGAATATAATATTTTTTAACATGGTTAATCTCCTCCAAGTCGGCTGCTGTGCTTTATTTTACCTTTTGGAACAAGACAACATGCATAAATATCCTCTGGTATGTCACGTACCTTCACATATTATATAATTACATTTTGCTGCCACAAGCAAAATTCCCAGAGAAGTTTTTTTGGTGACAGTTCAGCCCTGATTCTCTTAGATTAGTAACTATTATTTTCCCTGAGGTTTTAGTTTCCCTGTGTATCTGTTTGGTTTATCCTCCTCTGCCTGAATGGAGAATAACAAGAGAACCAAAAAGAGATATTCACAGTGTTTAGTTTATTCTCCTCAATCCTCATTTATGAGAATAAACTGGTTTCTCTGTAGGTTTCCTTGTGATTTGTCTGATTTTTGTTTTAATTTCTTTTTCACTTTCCCAGGATTTCCCTAGGAGAAAAGCAGGTTTCCTTTATTATCAGTAAACATTAAAAAGAGAATATCCAAGCTCCTGTCTTCATTTTGGTTCATCTTCAAACTTACACTACATGACACAGAGCTTATGAACAACTGCAGCAGAGCTTTTTGGTAAGAAATTGAATGTAAAATTAAAAGCAACAATTTTTCAAATAAAAACAATGGCAGATTTTATAGCAAAGAAAAAGACTGGTTTAGGACAAACACATACTCAAAAGCATTTTCATGTTCAAAATTTTCTTACCTGAATATTGTGCAGATAAAACTAGAAAACTGTTTGTCTGCTTTCGTAAGAATTTCACTCAGTGAGCAAAACATCCAACAAGCAACTTCTGTGTTTGAAAGTCAGTGTCACGTCAGATTTTACAGGTGCGCTATTTATTCATCTTCTCGTTGTGAAAGAGGATGTTAGCCTGTTCATTTTTAAAACGACCGATTTAAATTTTCGGCAGCAGGAACAATGCATTTATTAGAAAAAGAACTGGATAAAAATCAGGACTGCCAGTTTCAGAGAACAAGAAAAACCACAGAGAAGCTTCGCAGAAACACCAGGCCCATAATATAATACCTCCCAAATATTCATGTCATATTGCTAAAATGTCTTATTTTGTGTTGCATTTTTATCTTTAAAGTTGCTCCTTTAATTTAAACAGTTTGAGACCAACATTTTCTCATTTGCTTTGTGAAATAATTCATTCTGCTTGACAGATATGAATTGTTATTTACACACCCATTCAAAGATGTGTAAAGAACGCCATAAATAGGTTTAAAACTTTTCTCACCTTTAAGGTGAAGCATATTCTGATACCAAAAAAAACAAAACAAATCTAGTAGAGAGAGAAATGTAAATAACAATTCTAATAAACTTATTGCATAAGAAATGTTGAGAAGTACTTACTAGAGTTCTATCAGGACATTATCTAATTGCTCAACTCAGTTTTTCTATCATTATGAAAGTAGTTCTCGTATTGAATCATTATTTGTCCGATGAACTTAAAATAGTGTGTTTACAAAGAGTCCCTGTCTGTCATGTTGGCGGTGCTTTTCAGATGAGATCAGTTTTGTAGGTCTGCTGTTGTTGGATGTAGAAGAAGAAATTTGGTGGTTATGATAGTTTGAGATGTCAAACAAATGTAAAGCAAAAAGAGCCACATGAGTATAAAATATAGCATTTATTTTAACTCCAAATTTTATTTGAAATACAGAAAACACCAAGCTCAGGAAAAATAGTACATGTTACATTTGACCAAGGCGAAAATACACAAAACATTCAATAAGATATTTGAAAATAAAGTCTGCAAAATGGCTCCCAGCTTTCCTTTTCACAGGTTGTTGGAAGAATGTAAGACCTGGTCTTGGTCTCCATGACAAATTAGGGGAGGAGTCTTTAGATAAATCATACTCCAACACGTCTGACTCTATGACATGTTTCATAAATGATTCTCTGCTTTCAACACCTTTTTTTTCTTTTCAGAAATAATTTAATGACAAGGAGATCGATCTGCAGATTCCACTATTAAAACAAAACAACAACTGAAATCTTGACAAAGTCTGAAATCAGAAGCGACAGAACAGTTAAACTAAGGATGAGCAGGTTCAGAAAAACATATCTACCATGTCTGACAAGAACTTACTTATTGCACAAAAAAGTCCTGATTTTATCTTACAAAACAAACATTATTTCTTTTTCACTTGAGCGTAGAGATTCTCTGGACTCTCAGCCGTCTGCGTTGTGGATTTCTCTGCCGTTGGCACTTTGACCTGAGCGTACACCGACGCCTGGTCGCTGTCCGGCACTGGCAACGAGGAAGCTTCAGGAGTCTTCTTTATGATGTTCACTTCTCCATAATGAACTTCTCCTTTTGTTTCTTTGCCATCTGATATCTGAATATCAGGCTCAACGCCTGTTTGACTCTGTGGGATATAAAGATAAAAAAAAGTATGTGTAGTCCTGCTTAAATATATTATTATTATTGAGACGTTTGTGCAAAACTTTAAGTTTAACTAATCTGTAATTTGAAAGTCTGGTAGGGGTAGTGATATAAAATATGCGGATGTCCGACTGGGAAATGCATATGCAGACATAAATATGAAATGCTGCATAGAGAAGATGATCATTTCCTCACCTGAGTCTGTTGAGGAGATGATTGTTTGGACTTAAAACACCTGGAAGACATGAGAGATCTGTCAGAACATTTCTGCTGTATTGGAGGTGACCGCATTAAAAGATGATCATCAATGTAATGAAATATACAGAAAACACTGGAAGATGGGAACTTATATGTAAAATGTGCATTCCATACTGTAGGTATTGCTTTTGTAAGTTTGTTGAACAAAATTTGATTTGATAACTTTCTTCTGCCTGACTTCTTTATTTTGTAATTATGTTATTTGTAATTTCTTTTTTTTTACTTCAGTCTTTAAAATACAACTTTTCCCCTCTGACCGCAGATGGAATAAAAAAGTCTTTATGTTTTGTGAATGTAAATTTTATTGTTCGAATTGGACGTGTGGAAGTCAAAGCGATTTTGAGGAGTTTGATATGAACTAATTTTTTAAGGTAACTACATCCACAAATTGCAGCATGATTTTATTAATTATGATACTCACCAAACAGTTAAAACCAGACATAAACCCATGATGATGGCCACAGATACTCCCACTGCGATTGGCACAGTGGGAAAATCTGCTTTTGGAGGACCTAAAAAAAAAGTACAGAGACAAACTGAAAAGGTTCATGATCAGAGAATATTTTCAAATGTTTGTAGTGGAGTCAAGAAATACCTTCAATGGTAATGTTCACATAGGATGTCTGATTACCCAGATCATTGATAGCCATACAGTAAAACTCTCCTCCTTCGGTAACATTGAAACTGTAAAGCTGCTCCACAGACACATTAACATCTCCATGTTCGCTGTTCCAGAACCAGGTGAATCTGGGTGGAGGTTTGGCTCTGCTGGAGCAGCTCAGCTCCACCCAGCTACCTGCTGACACCAAACCTGATGGACTGATGGATGCTGAGGTGTTTCTAGGAGCATCTGAGGAAAATGAGACACATGAACTTTATTGATCACAAACAGCTGAACCATGACCTGCTGACAGGATCACTTACATGAAACACTGAGAGTCACTTCTGTCTCTGCTGTCTTGTTTCCTCCAATCACAGGATATCTGGCAGAACAGCTGATGTTGTATCCATCATGTGTGTCTGACAGAGTGATGTTCTCCTGGATTTTAGTTGTAAAGGTTCCATCTGTGTTTTTCTCTGTTTGTCTGAGAGAGTCTTGTTGGAGATTCCAGGTGAGTTGAGGAGGTGAGTGTGGACAGGGAGTGAAAGCTGAGCAGGTTACAGTGACAGACTGATGCTCCTTCAGGTCAGAGGGAACATTAATGCTGGGACTCCAAGGAGAATCTGGTGATTCACATCAAATGCACATTTTAATAAATAAAGCAGACCTCCAATGCTCAAAACTATCAAATGTTTGTTAAAATATTTTTCATTAAGTTTAATTAATTCGATAAAAAGAAATACGCAAGCACAATTGTCCTCAAATTGATGAGACATCCATTGACATTGATCACCTTGCATTAAACAAATTGGAAGACCTAAAGGAAAACAAATGATTATTTTACACACACACACACACACACACACACACACCTACACACACACACACACATGCACCCACGCAAACATGCACAGTTGACACCAGATATTTTCAAAATCCCAATACACTTTTTTTTTCTGACTGAAATTAAATCCAGCCAAACCCTTTTTCTTTGCTTTAAATTAGCTATAATTACCAAAATTATCTCTATTTGCTAAATGAAAGAAAAATCAGCAATAACTTTTTTTTTCAACTTTCTTCAGATTCACAAGTTTACATAAACTTGTTCAGTATCAGACTTAACTGTCTTTTAAAATATATGACTTGGATCAGACCTCTTTGGATTTCCTTCCACAACCTTTTCCCAATAGTTTCCTGCTGGTGTCCGTTCCTCCTGACAGGACTGGTGAAACTGAGTCAGGTTTGTAAGCTGCCTCACTCACAGGTCTTTTCAGATCTCTGCACCTCTAACCCGTAGGACCACGATTAGGGCTTTGTGATGGCTACACACAAACACAGACTTTGTTGTCTTTAAGCCACATTATAACCACTTTGGTTGTTGTCCATTAGGAAGACCAATCTGTGCCCAAACATTTACTGCCTGGCTGAAGTCTTCAGATGTTGCTTCAATATTCCCTAACAGTGTCCTTTCCTCATGATGCCATGAGTTTTATGATGTGTACCAGTTCCTCCTGCAGCAAGCAGTCCCACATCATGATGCTGGCACTCTCATAGTTGACAGTTAAGATGATGAAAGCATCCTCAGTTCTCCTCCAAATGTAATGATTGTTATTATGGCCAATCAGTTCCACTTTCGTTTCATCAGACCACAGGATATGCTTCCAGAAATGTAGATCTTTGTCCCTGCGTGCATCTGCAAACTGCAATCTGGCTCTTAATGCTTCTGTTGAAGTAAAGGTTTCTTTCTCAGTGAGTGGCCTTTCAGCCCATGTTGGTACAAGGCATGTTTTTCTGTGTATAATCATATTTAAGATTCTTTAGCAAAATCTACACCAGGGCTTTGGCTTTTGTTCTGGGGTCAATCTAAACATTGTGGACCAAAAGTCATTCTCCTTCGTGAGCAATATGATCATTGGGCATTCCCACATTAGCATGTAATTGTTTGAACAAATGAATGTGGCATATGCAGTCATAGGTAGGTTGTTCACAAGAAGGAACCCGACTTGTGCAGCTGCACAGTTCCCTTCCTGATGTCTTAGCTGATTTATTTTGACTTTTCTATTGTGTCAAACAATAAAGCAGTGTGTTTAAGGTGTGACCTTGAAATGCATCAAAAGGTGTTCCTCCAATTCATTCAAATGTGTTAGTTAACCCATCATAAGTTTGTAGAAGAAAGCCCAAAAATACTACACATTTAGACAAATATCATACATTTTGACAGACAGTTATCCCAAATACTGACCAAATGTATGTAAACATATCAATGTGAGGAAATTTACAAAAATGGTATTTAAAAAAGTATAACGCATTTTGGCAAGTCTAACTGAGGTAAAACAATATATATATA